GTGTCTGAGTCCTCCATTTCTGTTTAAAGGTGGGTTCTCTTTCCTAACAAAAATAGCTTCTTTAACACCCCTCTCAAACTAATTATTTTCTCTGGCTAAGATCTGTACCTCACTATCCTCAAAGAAGTGGCCCGTGAAGATGTACAGCAGACTGAGGTCCTGTGTTGCTCTCTCGTCTGTGTTGGTACATCCTCTTGTGAAGTGGCTGTTTTGTTTCTTCATTGTAGCGCTCACAGCAGTCTTCAAAACACTAAATGGAGTAAACCTCATTGCTTTGTTTGTGGTTCGGTGTTTTGTCCTTTGAGTGGACCCGTTTCTGTCTTAAAGTGTTTGTATTTTACACACATTCACACTTAATTAAAGTTATAATGCCTATAGAACAAAGTTGACCTGGTGGAAATAGAGTCTATATTAATCACAAATCTGTATAAATCATATGGATGAAGTGCCGTGCCCAACGACATAGCACAGCTTGAACCAATATCCAGTTATAAGGTGGTAGTTTTTTGTATTATTTCGTTTTACAAAATATTTACATTATTGACAATTTTCACAATATCCCAAAAATTTCTGTCATTTCTGGACTACATTGTTTTCAAAATGCACAGCTAAAACCAGCGCTCCACTCATTCTAACGCTCTCCTTCAGTCACAGTCAAACAGTTGTCTTCTTGGGTTACTTAAATGAGCCTTTTAACTCAATCTGGAGAGCACTTCTCTAATCACGCAGCACGCACGCTGTATCAACACACAACACTGACCCAAGAGTAATTAAAAGGCGTGCTAATCTGAAATGTTCGTTTAATTAGTGAAGAAAGGACTGCTGCGGAGAGTGAGAGAAGCCTGGGGGTGCAACAGAAATAGAATCCAACCACACTAGTTGTTTTATAATAAATTATACAAGTCATTAATATGCACCATCCTTATGTGTGGTGTAGTGTAAATTGGGCAAGCCTGGTGGCCACTTTTATCACTGTAAATAGTTCTACATGCGTTTAGTTCTGTGTATATATGGTGAAGACGGCTGTTTGTAGTATTTTGGGGGGCTATGCAAAATGCTATTTGGGGGTCTCTTTAATTAAAGGTCCTTTATTACACAAAATTAATTCTTGTGAACTTGTGTTTTGTTTCATTCACACATGTTCGAGTAATCCTTTATTGTTCGTCTGGCAACATGTCGCAGTAGTTTTCATGTTAACCTACTTTTTAAAATTACTTTAGTAGAGATTGACATTCTCATTGAGATTCTCAGGGCTGAAATCATCCAAATGATTCTAGTGAAGGTGTCTGGAGTTTAAAAACACAATGGCGTACTTCCTGTATTACCACATGACATCACAAGGTGGAACAGTGTGTTTTGAGAGAAGAACTCTGTGTATTATGAACCCTTTAAGTGCAACAAAATGAAATCCTCAAACCTGACGTTATGCAGGAATAAGCTAATGTCTGTTCAATGGCAATAAACAAAAATCACACAAATCTGAACATTATGCACTGAAGGCTTGAAACGGACTATATATGTATCATGTGTGTTTAAAGCTGCATGTTATTCTCCACAAATAAGTTGCTGTGATATTCTCATTGCAGTCTGTATTTTAAACTCCTACACTTGACCAATCAGCTTTAAATATTCGTTTTGACATTGCACCTTTTCCCAAGGGCTTTCAGTGAGAGTCGATTCCAGATTGATAATGTGCAGAATTCAGTCCAGAGAATAACACATATGAATCTGGTGAGATATATTCACATGTTTACGTAGCTCCAAACATGTAAACTAATCTACATACTCTATAAATAGGTCATCTGTCACCACACTTCCTTTGCCCTTCTTTTTTAGAGGATTCCTGGAGTGATGGAGTAGTGCTCGTCCAGTTGTTTGCAGTATGTATGCTGTACGCATGTATGCAGGCGTCTCACCTCTGCACTCTGTAATATAAGACATGTGGGTCTACCACCCTCAGCCAGAGGCTCTGAAAGTATCCAGAGCAAAGGTAAGCCGTGAGCTAACTACTGGTCTGCAGGACGGATAAATCAGTCACATATTCAGTACACAGAAAGAGATTTGAATGGGATAAGCAGTTTTATTGCATGACTGTTCTCTGTTAATGTCTGTTATGGTTTTGGTCACATGCAAACAGGACAAGTGTAGGTCAGTTGATCTGACTGTTGACAGTTACATGAACAGCTTTATGAAGTTTATAAAGTAACTGGATGTTGAAATAATCTCAAAATAGATATAGTGTTAGTAGAGATTATTTTGAGCAAAAGTAATTACCATACTTCATATGCATGAAAATTTAACAAAACAAATAAGAGTAGTAACCTAGTTACAGACCCTTCTTAATTTAACTTCAACTTCAGTGCCACCATCTATGGACCTATGGACCTCCTTCAACATAAACAAGTTGTTTTTCATACATGTTTTTCAAGGCAGTTTTTGCAATAAAAACATCTGTATTACAAAAAAAAAAAAAATAAATTCAAGATACAACAGACTGTAAACATCAGGCAAAGCAATACATCTGTTACACAGTCCACCTTTAAAATGACCAAATGAATTTGGTCCTGTCTTATCAGTTTTACTCTCTAACTGTTCTTTACTTTGATCTCGACCTTTTTGTTAATTATTGGTGCTGTTTTAACCAGTGCTTTGGCCCAGCCAATGGTAAGAATGTCCAATGTAAACTGAAGTAGATCACATGTCAACAATACAAATGTCCTTCATCTCTATGTACTAACTGCCCTGTTCAGCCCCAATAGCAAAACATGACATTACATAATTGTCTCATGATGGAAAAATACACAATACACATAATTGTGTAATACAAATATGCATACAGCTAGCAGCTCTTATCAGGACAAGAAAGTACTATAACTATCTGTAAATGTCTGTCAGATACTAATACGTACAATTTAGAATCTCAAAGTTACACTCATCATCACAATTTAGTACAGGATTGCAATTTAAGGCTATGCTAGGTCAACGGGTAGCTATTTTAGTTTTCATATTTCATGACTCTACAAGATTATAAATAACTATGATGATAAAGCAACATACAATAACAATATGAAGTATTCATCATTGACATTTTCTATATTTAAATTTTGTCTTTGTCAAATGTAGTTATTTATTTATTACTTCTAAAACCACAAAAACTTGCTTTCTTGCAATTAATGTGATTTATGCTGAAATTGTTTAGTATAGTATAGTATAGTATAGTATAGTATAGTATAGTATAGTATAGTATAGTATAGTATATATATTGTATAGTTTGTATGTTTATAGCTCCATTAATCTGTTGTATATATTCAAAACAAATGTGCCACAACTTGTGCGTGAACCAAAGAAAAAGTTAACTATTTTGTTTTCCTGATTTCCTGCACACTGCTATCTGCTTTGTCAACAGCCTGCTCTTTCTATTACTCAGGTTTTAATGGGATCTCGGTGGAGGCTCTATAATAATGAGCCTATTGGGTTTTCTCTCTCCCCGTGCTCAGAAATAAAGCATCTTTAATGGGCTCACAACCTATTAACAACCGTACTGTCATATTTTTATTAATACAGGAATGAGTCTCTATATTAGAAGTGGTTTCCCGTGTGCATAAAGTGAAAAAGCTGTTTTGTACTACTAAATAATTCATTAAAATTAGTAGAGCTATAATAACCGCCACAACAGTATATTGTTCTCTTTTAAACAGCGAGGAGAGGTGGGGTTTTGTTTGCCTGGGATCCAGAATATGCACTTTTTCAATACTTTGCAGAAAGTATTGAATCTCCCAGAGCTCAGATGGGCGTGATTGACAGGTAGATTAGCCAGTCAGGGACATGCATGATCTGTCTGTGTCAAAACGTACACAGCTGCTTATGAGAAATATAGAAACAGACTGAAAACATTGCACATTCCTCCAAAATCAATGAGCAAAGTTTAATTTTGCTCAAAATGACATGTGACCAATGAGCTCCTTTGTTTACCATGTGCCACTGAAATAAACAAATGTGATTGGATGGCAAGGCGAAGGAGAAAGTTGTGACCAGACTGATATCCCTCTGTATAAAAAATACAGATATAAATTTGACAAGGATTTCGTAGAACTTGTTGTTTGACCCCAGAAACTTGGCACTATAACTATACAACTATAATAATATAATAAAGGCCATTAAACTTTGTGTTGTTCAAAGATACCAAAGCATTTCTCCGCATTGAAATTATGACAGAAATTATTGTTCCTTCTTGAAATATTAGCTTGTCCTTGAAAAACAAAAATCCTTAAATTCAAAACAGAAATGGGGCCAATAAATCCTGGTCTTTATCTCGATGAGGAGATTACACAGTCAGTGAAAACAATGGCACACCGGCAGTGGTGATAAGTACTGTTTAGTTTTAACAGAAAGACAAACAGAAAACATGCCCCAATGACGTTAATGAAATATAAACTTTAACTCTAAATGACATTGTGTTTTAGTAGGAAAACGTGTGTATGATTATATTTTCAGGTAAGGAATTCAAAACCAGTTTAAAACAATATATATATCAGTTTTGATTTTTATTTACATATATATTCGTCTAAAATTGAAATCTTTGTCAATAGCATCAATGCATTTTCAGTTTATCCTCAGTGGATAAGAAAAAAATCCAAAACCAGCCCATTTTGTATGACAGATTTTTCATAATAGAATTTCTTCACATCTTCAATTTCCTCACTCATGTCACCTTCCTGCCATTGTACTGCTGCTATGTGTGGTGTTCCTGAGATGCTCAGTGTGACTGACTCACAGATGACATGGCCCCTCCCACTCATCCCGTAACCCCGCCCTCTGACATGTCTGTTAATTCCCACGAGGTGATGCCCTCCTTGGTAACTCAATAAAGGCTCGTAGTGGTGCCATCACAGTGGATCATGTTCTGGTGAGGGACACTCCTTTGGCTGCTGCTCTCAGACCTGCCCCGTGAGTAAAACCAGGTCAGGACTTTTAACACTATTTGAGAAGAGGAGAGATGAGTCTGCTGCCTGCTCAGGTATACCACTAATGAATGCAAATACAGAGAGGACACAGAGAGCCACAAGGTGCTGTAGGTAAGTGGATATGTTATATAAGGTGTGTAAGAAGTGTACTAGAGATGAATCAAGGCTATAACTAATGTTTTACATATGCACAAACAGTCACTGAAATTTTAAACATTGTGGTTATGGCAAAATATTGTGCTCTTATATTCTTTATGGACTATTTTGGGGGTGTGAAATGAAATAATGTATTCTATAGTTGTAATAGTAGTAGTAGTAGTAGTAGTAGTAGTAGTAGTAGTAGTAGTAGTAGTAGTAGTATGGAAGTAGTCTTGTAGACATGAAATTCTAATCGCATTGCAAGAACTAACCACAAATATTGTCTGTTGATTAAACTGTTTGAAGAAGATATATGTTCTGGATACTTGATAGACAATATGCCTCATATAAACCATTGCAAGATAAACTGATTTTGCAAGTTGAACAGAAATTTTTTAAAGAATTTGTTTTGTTGTGATGTAGTTTTAGTGCCGTTCAGCTTTTGCACAAGATTTAACAAAATTTCCTTAGGCTGGGCATTGTTATGATAATAATGAAATTGTGATCTGATCCTTATAGATATGTAAATTGGTGACATTATAATTCCTCGCTTTTTTGTTTAAAGCTGCTATATGATTCAACACAGACACTTTCCCACCTCCTCCTCCTATTGGCCCTTTACGCTTACACTCTGAGTTAGTGTCAGGTGGATTTGATCACAGTGAAGTGCGAACTCTCAAAAGAAACAGATGTCTTAAGTCACTTCTTAAAGCTACCATCTGCAAGACTATTAGATTTTTAAAAAAAATTTTACCATTAGATGGCAGATGTGAAACCTCATGTTTTCTTCTTTTTTTTTTTTTTTAAGACAAAAAGGTTTGTTTCTAACTTGACAAAACAAATACACCTTTTGTCTTTAAAAACAAACAGAGGAAATTATCTAAAAAGAAGACATAATGAATTTCATAAATAGATGTGAAACCTGTTCCCTCTCCCCTCAGGTTCACCTGTGCTCTCTGCTCTTCTTCTTTCAGGCCAAAGCTGGCACACTATCAGACAGAAACATAGATATCATCTAGTGGTGTCATGTGAGAATACAACAGGGCCCGGATCAGCCAGTCTAATTACAAATGGTAGCTTTAAAGCTGAGATACTATGTGTACATGAATCGTGAGGTCCAGTTCTAAGGAAACTGTGGTAACAAAATTCTTGCACAGCAAAATGGATTCTTGCAATATTTGTGAGTTCATAAACTCATGAGAATCCATCTTGGCATTTGTCCCCTGGTGCGATTGGGTTGACGCCCCAAATGATAGATGTACCTCCATCTATTTTAGTGTCAATACAGACTATTTTGCTTGTTAAAAACATGCAGAAGGTAGCATTTTTCAAAGTGCATTTGCAGACAGGAAGATGTCTGTGTTTTTCTCTCAGCTGGATCTAATAAAAGTTTGATTTCTAAGTTAGTCATTAATTAATGAATTAATTAATTATTGCATTTATATAGCGTCTTTCAAAACATCCAAAGTGCTTTAGTTCATTGTTCATCCACTCCACACTCAGTGATGGCAAACTACTATTGTAGCCACAGGTGCCCTGGGGCAGACTGATGGGACCATGGGCCCAGCCCCCACTGACCACCATCACTACTCACGCACACTCCACACTTCTTCTATTGTTGTGGCACTTTGACCAATCACATTTATATAATCGTCCTGACATTCCGCATGTTCCATTTGCTTTCAGGGTTGAACTCACTTTAAAGTGACACACATATTGATCTGGCGTGAGTCAGGTTAAGTTAATTCTATATTTCTGTGACAATACACTAAGGTACTGGCTTAGTCTCATGTGAAGTGTGTTATAATATGCTGTACCCATAGGCTGCCCTTTAAACAGCACTGAGAGTATCTACACCTGAATGCCCACAATGTGAATACAGTATATAAATAGATAGTCATTTGGCTGCTTGTTCCTTTGGCCAGGAGCTTCTTGTCCTGGTGCAACAGTGGGAGAGTCATGGTGGCGTTCAAAGGCGTTTGGACCAAGGGCTTTTGGAGGGCGGTGTCCGCTGAGTACCTGGCCACCCTCATCTTCGTCTTCCTGGGGGTGGGCTCCACTATCAACTGGCACGCGACCAAGGAAAACCCCCCTCCGGCCGACCTGGTGCTCATCTCCCTGTGCTTCGGCCTCAGCATAGCCACCATGGTGCAGTGTTTCGGGCACATCAGCGGAGGACACATCAACCCGGCTGTTACCGCAGCGATGGTGGTGACCGGGAAGTTGAGCTTGGCCAAAGCTCTGTTTTATGTGTTGGCACAGTGCCTGGGAGCCATCACCGGGGCGGGGTTACTTTACTTGGTCACGCCCCCAGCAGTGAGGGGGTCCTTCGGAGTCAGTGATGTAAGGGTTTTAAAGCAGTGTACTTTAAAGGTGCAATATGTAACTTTTCGGATGGACGGTACACCACCGGCTGGTCTCATGGCGATGTCACTGCTTTACCAAGATGTTCCAAATTATGGGATTAAACTTCTATATCAGAGGTACCCACAGATTTTTTCCTCGATAGGTCAAAATTAATGCAGGACCAAATCTAAAGACAATTAGCACATAAAAATAATTTTTGGTAAGAAATAAAAATTGACTTTAAATATGAAGAAATGGACTGGACTGGACTCTTGACAGTCAAATTTGAACCAAAACATATTCTTTAAAATCTCAGAGCCCCCTCACAGACCATATTAAACCTCCAGGCCTTTGAGCATCCCTTCTCTATATCTTGAATTTATTCACTCAGGTTTTACTGTTGAAAAATACATTGAAAAACTTTTCCAGATGGTATCACTGTCTTGTCTGCATAGAGATAGATATGTTTTATGCTATATTGTGGAATTTTCCAGGCAAAACATTAACATGTCCATGGAATAAAGCAAGTGGCAGACCCTTCTGTAGATCACCACTAACTCCCAAATACCCCCTTATGTTGCCAACATATCTCATAGTTATGAAAAAATAATAAAATAAAGATCAAAGGGCTGTGTAATGTTTCTAGTGGAATAAGAATGTGTGACATTCAAGGCATTTTTGCAGTGTTAAAAACACATGTAAATAAATGCATGCAAGAGCAGGCAAGCAATTACATCTCCATGGAAACAAGCTGGTAGAAAAGTGCTGTGCACCTTTAAATGTTTCAGATGAATTCACATATTGAGTAAATCCTAACATCATATGTACAAACAGAAATATTTCATACTTTAGGTAAACACAGACATTTCAGTGGGACTTGGCCTTCTGGTGGAGATCATCATAACATTTCAACTGGTGTTTACCGTCTTTGCCACGTGTGACCCCAAACGCACCAATCTGAGCGGGTCTGCAGCACTGGCTATTGGTGTGGCTGTAGTCATTGGACATCTGTTTGGAGTAAGTATTTCACTTATTTTACTTGTAATTCTTTTGATATGATATTTTCTATGCTACTATGTGTTTTGTTTTGAATATTTTTTCAAATAAACTTTTGTACAGCCTTTTTACAGCAACATCAGATACTACTGACTAACAAAACACCTAAATTGGTGAATCATGAATAAATGGTGACTCATACAACAAAAAATTAAAAATACATTCCACATTATCTGCATTGTTATTTTCATTATTTGCATTTTAAACTGATGCATAAAACATCTCCCATTCTTCATATGTGATCTTGCATGTGTTTCACTGATTCACACCCACCTGCACAACTTTATTGGAGTCCTCTGTCGCCTGGCAACCATACTCCAGAGGCAGAAACACACAGAGCAAATGGATGCACAGGGAAATAAGTGCTACCTGCTTGCATCACATGGCTCCCTGTTGAAGCTCTTTAAAATGATTTGGCTATTACAGGATTAGGCTTGATAGTTTACAATCCAGTGTATATCAAGTAAAATAATACATTTCTTTATTTGTTTTTTCAGATTCCATACACAGGAGCAAGTATGAACCCTGCACGATCGTTTGGACCTGCAGTAGTTACTGTAACGTTTAAAAATCATTGGGTAAGACAAATCCACATATATAAAATTTGCAATAGAATATGTTTTCAATTAAAGAGCCCATATTACACTATTTTCTGATCTGTTCTAATGTTTCTTCATCAAAAACATACCTGGAATTGGGTTTTGTTTCATTCACACATTTAACACATAAACCTTGCATATTTAGGGGATATGCATAGTTCTCCTCTTGTACGGAAAAGACTCCACCTTGTGATGTCATGTCGTAATACAGGAAGTGCTCCATACCTTTACACTAGAATCATTTCAGCCTTGGAGTTGCCAATCTCTACTGTACAAAAGATAAAAGGTAGCTGTTAACTTGAAAACTGACACTTCATGCCACTTCATGGTGACATTTTCATCTTTGGAGATGTAGACAGACAAATGATAAAGGATTGTGTGAATGAAACAAAGCACAACTCCAAGTATATTTCTGACAAAGTAACATTTTAACATGGTTTAAAGCTCATAAGAATCAATGTCACATAGTATACCATCATTAAGGAGCAGTTTAAAATGCAAGCAGTGAATATTGAAATACAAAATTGTCAACAAAAACAAATACATTCTAGGATCCATTATTTCTGGTAAGAATTTGCAGCTGCATTGCTTCAGTTTGCTTCCCCCAATTGAATAACTGTCTCTTGAAAGTCCCTGAGAGAGCTTGTGTAAAAGGTTGAATGAAATACAGTAGTTAGATGATTATATCACCAGTGGCAGTGGTCCTAATGACAAAAACAGACTTTACTGTAGTGCTACTGTGCTACTGCAATAACTCTAATGTTTTTCTTTAATCTAGGGGTATAAAAACACACCAAGATGTATCCTAGTTTGTAGGAATTTGTGTGTAGAATTGCCCTTTGTTGGTGGTCTTATAACTCGATGGGTTCCACTGAAAATCCAGCTTTGATCATCGAGGATTATTGTTGTGTCCTTTGGCAAGACACGTCACTTTCCTTACAGACGTACGAATGCAGTGTGTGAGTCAGTTATTGGCACATTGGTACAAGGCAGGAGTGTGGAGAGTGAATATGTAATGCAGTGTCCAAAAAGGCCCGATATAATTATACTGGCATGAAATACAAGGTGAAGAGTTGGAAGAGACATTCAGCACTGCTTTCAAAACCAGAAATCCCTCAGTGTTTCATTACTAGCCTAGGATATTGAAAAAAATCTGCCGTATTTTGAATTCATGTCCCTACTAATCAAGAAATGTGTTTTTACTGTCTACTAAACACTATCGATGTCTATTACATCAGATGCCATGCCACCATTTTATTTTTCCTCCATCATGTATTATCAAACATAAGTATTTGTCTTTAAGGCATTATGCATGTAAATCACACCATCTGTGGATAAATAATTGGGTTGAATTAACAAGGTGTAAATAGCATTAGCTCTAAATACATGCATTCAGGGGGTTTCAGTGCAGAGATTAAACAGCATCACGGCGCGTCTGTAATTAATTGCTCAGCGCTAGGTAACAAAACATAACATTTCATTCTGCTAATAGTTTGTGCTCACGTGACGCTGCAATAGTCTAGAATCTGTGTTGAGCTGGAGGACGGGTCTGAATAGTGTAAGAGATTAGATTTGTGGATGTGGTTTAATTACTGGGTCAAGCCATGTGAAACAAAAACTGGCACGAAGTTCAAAATCTTCACTGTCAGTGCAGATAAACAAAAGTGAACTCATTTTTGTTCACAATAGCTTCGGAAAATGGTGCCATTATTCACTCCCAAGGATGTGATGATTGAAAGACAGTTGAAAGGAGCAAAACAATGAATATGGTGAGTTTGTGGAGCAGATTCCTAACATTATGTAGGGTTCAACAATAAACTGTATACTGTATTCTTCAGACTATAAGCACACTTGAAATCCTTTAATTTTCTCAAAAATCGTCAGTGGGCCTTATAATCCGGTGCACCTTATGTATTAATTCTGGTTGTGCTTACTGATCTCGATCTGATTTTATGTAGTACTGGCGCTCAAAAATCTGTCAAAATGTTTTAGTACGACTTTGGTAAGCTACGAAGCCGCACCGCTTGATGGCTTATTGGAGCATTACAGCTACCGTAGTCAGGAGCCTCGCAGAGTAAAGGGCGAAGTATAGTTCTGCCTCGACATTTATGACATCAATGAAATGCTACAGAGAATATATGTTCATTCATATATATGGTCTATGCTATGATCTGCAGACTTATAATCTCTGAAAAGTTTCACATAAACCACCTCCAACGCGATGGAAGAACAGAACAGACTCACCATCAGCAGCACATCCTCTGTCACAGAAAGAACATCTATATTCTACTGAGTCGTGTCCTTTAGTCTGACCTTAGTTGACCACTTCAGCACACAAGAAGCGAGCTGTTTTTTCAGCTCTTATAGTTTAAGCAAAGTAGTCATGTGGTTTTAAGTGACGTTTCTGTAAAATGTAAACAAATGTGTGCAAAGCTGCATTAAACACATTATTACTCAACGTGTATTTGAGTCCTCCTTGTAGGAAATAAAAAACAAACTTAAATTATCCACCCACATTCACATTCATAATACACATTTACCAAGACAGGGAACGCCGGGCAAGTTACGTCACAATCTGCCAATGGATCATAGGGATCAGTCTCAAGTGTCATCTGTTTGTTTTGCTATAATCCGGTGAACCTTATGTATGAAAATAGACGAGATAATTCAGCATTATTGATATTGTGCCTTATAGTCCGAAAAACACGGTATAAAAATGGGCATAGCGAACCCGCTTTCCAAAGGAAATGAGCTTGGACACACTTCCGGCTCTATTGACTCTGGCTCCAATTCACATTGTATTGAGAAATTTCCCCACTCTCTCTCTAACTGCTGTAGTACGCCTCGCCATTTTGGTCTTAAAATGTTCGTATAAAACTGCTCTACATGATCCCGGTGTTTTAATTTTTGTTTTTGTTTTTATCAAAATATGAACATGAATTAGTCCACTTGTTGATACAGTCTACCGTTCTACCTAAAAATCACCTGAAATTACGACATCATGCAGTTCTAGAAAGTGAGCCCCTTTTGTTTACATTTCAGATATACTGGCTGGGTCCGTTACTGGGTGGCATTCTGGCCGCCGGTCTTTACGAATACCTCTTCTGCCCCGACCCGGAGGTGAAAAAGCGGCTGCAGCAGGTCTTCCAAAAGGACCAGTCAGGACGATACAAGGAAGTGGACGCTGACGACATCACGATAAAACCGGGGAGCATCGACGTGGAGAAGGGCGAGAAGAAGGACCTGTTCAACGACAAGGGAGATGTGCTGTCGTCCGTATGACTATCACGCGCACTGCAAATAGAGACCAATCTGTAGCACGAGCAGACTAGTAACCGCCTTTTAGCTTGTCCCTTCCGAATAACTGTGCTCATAAAGGGGGATGGGATGGGATTTACGAGAATGATACAAGATGAGATTTTGACGCTATTTGTTAGAAATACATGGTGCAGTCCAGTTCCCAATTGTAGCAGTGTAGTTCTCAAAAAATGTACTTACTTAACAGTACTTAACAAATTTTTTTTATCCAATCCAAATACACAAAAAAATCTCACGAGACCATTTTCAGCATGTTCAATTTTGTCTTTATCTTGTGATACGAGATCTTGTCCCATCCCTATTCATAACAGTGCTGGTGCATGCTCCGGATGTGCAATTTCTGTTTTCTGATGTGTTATATTGTTGCGTCCTCATCAGAAACATAGCGAGAATTGTGTTTTGTTTCATTCACACCGAAATCTGCAGGTGTTAAACGTGCTAATGAAACAAAACACCAGCTTTGGTTTTGATGAGGAAACAACTTTAAAACATAGATTAGAAAATAACGTAATACGGGCATTTAATCGTAACCCATTTTCCAATTTAAATTATAATCTTGTAAACTTTTTCTTCGACTGACCAATCACAGCAGACTGTAACTCCAGAGCTCACGATGTAGCATTAATATTTAGCGTCCATGAAAAGAATCAAGCACCTTCTTATGATGTCCCAACCGCGTGTCACTTACTGGTAGGAATGTACAAAAAGGCTGAGTAATAATTGGTTGAGGAATCAATCTACCTTAAATACAATACATCGGGACAGGACAAGCCCACTGTCGTGTTACAGTGATCTCTATTTACAGTGCAGAACATGGAGAAAAAATGTCAAATCTTGTTGGCCATTTTGTTTATTTTTGCGACACTGATTTAATTTTTCATATTGAGATTTGTTTTTGCTTGTATTGGGTGATATTCTACTATGTACCATATTTGGAAAATACTGTAATCCAATGAAAGAAAGACTAGCGATTTTATTCATTTTTATACTACAAACTTTATACACAGAAATAAATACTGACATGCAAACACCAGCTCTTCTAAAATCATCAAAATGAGCAGAACTACTTGTTTAGAAAATCACTCATATAGATCTTGCAATGTGTTCTTTTTACTTATAGGTACAGTTGTCAAATTAGGAGCTGTAACCAATGTTTTTTTGGGTTTTTTTGTAGCATGAGCAAAGTGTGAAAAGCGTTTATAAAGTCATCATGGTGAATCATTAGGTTAAAACTGTCAAAATCAGGTACAGAGTCTTTGCTGTTAACTTGCAATCTTATCTTTGCAATCTTTGTTCCTAGAAGTTTCTCTAGCAATCCAGGAAATTCACTTACCTTTTTATGCCATATCAAGCGCTTGATATGGCATAAAATGTTTGCTTGTTTTTGTGGATATGTCATTGTGCCGCCTGGAATGTTCCACAGTACGACATTAAACAGCTCTACCTTGTTTTTATTCAATTACAGGTAGTTTTAAAGCTCAAACACACCTAGAAAAACATGCACTCTGACTGTGAGCGGGGTTGCCTCTCCACAGATCTGATCTAACTTGGTCTGGTTTGGGCTTCTTGAAGATAGAAAGGTTTAATATCACACTGTGAAACATTCCAGACAAAGCAATAACATCTCCATGAAGAAAAGCATTTGACAAAATCTCCACCTGAAAAGCTTAAATTACACAAACCGCCTAAAGCATATTTTCTCTTTATCTCACTGATCTTTTTTGTATTTTGTGTTGGTGAAAACACACGCAAGGTCGACCTTTTGGGTGAGGTGGGTGCAGTGAATGGGAGTGCTGAGGAGGAAAATGCGGCCTTGTTATTTCTGGATTAGTGTCACATTTGGTCTATGTAAAGTCCAGGTTCACTCATGAGTAGTTGAAGCGCATCATTTACAAGACATACTCAGTGTCTTATAACAGTCTATATATTTACAGTGCACCTACGGAAACCAATTGATACTTTGCAGAGATATCACATGCATCAAGGGTGTTCTACATGTATCTCTAATGGCGGAATGTTTAGGAGTTACCATGGTGACACACATTAAAAAGTTTTAAGATCATCTGCAAACTCAAGAGAAAATTTAAAATGGATTTAAACAACACATGTGCCGGATCCTGTGATCAATGTGAGCTTTCATGGTTCTGTGTTTAATTTTCAACAAAAAAAGTGAGAGTGACTAACTTTATGTGCGAGAGACTTGTTTAACAGTACACTCAGCCCCAGCTCAAACTGTACGACCAAATCACAGGGTTTAAAAGGTCACAGCTCACAATTCATGTTCTCACACTATACAAACTACTTCAACACACGACACAAGATTAAACCAAAACTTGATCCAATCTCCAAAACAGTGGCACAAGTAAAAAATCTTCTCAAAAAGGGCCAAAAATCGCACAGTGTATGCTCGACTTCCATCGGTTATTTACGGTCAGATTGCCTCAAGACGAAAGTTAAATTAAAATCTAACAGGCCTCAGACAGAGCAGTGCATCCAGATAGTATCACACTCCCAGGGAATGTCGATGACATTAGCTATAAAGTATCATTTGTACAACCTGATATGCCATTTTGTTCACATTATTTTTGCTGCATTGGTTTTATTTTTCATATTGAGAAATGTCAGTAAGTTGTTTTATTTTGTTGGTGTGACGCCATACGCATTTGGTTAAACTGGTATTTTTGGTATAAGCTAAAATGTTGGACAATCATGTATGTACACAATCCAATCAATTTTATGATTTAAGTGTGAATATGATCGTACTGATATTAAATCCTGTTTTAGTAAGCTCTGTTTGCCTTATTTGCCTTATTATCACATTCAATTCTGAAATCGTTCAATGACAAAAATGCGGGTAATTAAAATGCAGCCTCCAAAGATAAAATAAAAATATGCATTAATTTAACAAAACTTTTACATTTAGACAATTCTTCTACTTAAAGTTCATGTGATTATAATTTGATTTGGTAGGCTAGTGCATGTGGTAAATATGTATCATTGTTTTACATGAGTCAAGAGGCAGTTTATGGATAAGAAGTTGAGAAAAATGTACAAAAATACAGGAAGTACGGTGAGTTTTAAAACAGAATACCTCTAGTTATGGTATCAAAAAGGATGCTATAACCATTCCCTTTAAATGTGCACTGCGTAACTTTTCTAGTGAAAGGTCTGTTATCTGATCTGCTTGTGTCCATGGCGATATTACTGTTTTAGCTCATTTATTCCACAGTATGGAAATAAACTGGGTAACTACAATGGAGACAGGCTAGAATTCAGTTTTTATGCATTTTTACGTTATAAAACACTTATAATTTAACAAATTCAAGAGAGATATGTTTAAAGCCCTACTGTGAAACATTCCAGGGAAGGAAATAACATCCCCATAGAGACGCGCAAGTAGCAGACCCTCCACTTTTGTGCACTTTTAACGACAAAGCCTCTGACCACAACTTGTATCTTGTATTATCTCATGTTCCCCCTTTATTATTTGTCCAGTTATAATCAGGAGTACAGTACAAGGTAGCATGTAACAAGAGTACACAGTGAGGCCGGGAGTTGCAGTCTTTCCTCTCGTCCTCTCCTCCTCTCCTATCAGGCTAAAAATATTGCCTTGATAAGAATCCAGCTGCTTAAAAACATGTTTGTTGCTAGGGCTAATATCGCCCTTAGATGGTGTCTCCCTGTGGTCAGATAAGTGTCCAGTGCAGTCTGTGAGTCAAAAGCATTGTGTAATCTCCATCCCCCAGGCCACAGCAGCACACAGAGGCACAGGAAATGAACCTGCTTTGTGCTGTTATGTGTAAGGAACAAGTGAAATTCTGCACGATATTTTACTTTTTTTAAATCTGCTTTATGTTCATGTTTAGTTTGGTTTAGTTTATTAGGGCTTTCTTTACGTCTAGATTACATTAGAAGTGTATGTAGAAGCATACTTAGTCCAAAAGGAGTACGATGAAGCAAAATGTTTGTGTATCTTGATTTGTTTTGCTGGCTGTGTGCTCATGGGAAGGAAACAAGTTTGAGTGTGGATATTCTAACAGAAATAAAGTTGTAAATCTCACCGGACCTAAACACATTTAAAACAATCTTCTGCCTGCTTTGTCCAGAAATCATCAGCTCCACATTCTGTTTTGTTCCCGAAGAAGACTAAGAATATTAAAAGGAAAGTACTACTGCACTGTTCTGTCAGGTTAGACACCAGCATCACCTTGTGGTCACAGCGAGTATTGCAGCTTGTGTGAGCATTCTGGGGTTTGTCCAGGGGAGGGCAGTCACGAGCTGTGATGGACCAGATGTGCAAAGTGTGATCAAGGCTGTAAGAACCAGTTTATTCAAGATTGGAAAAAGATAGTTTTTATTAGTACAATGTTCAGCTGCAAAGGCACAGTACTCGTATTAAAAAGGTCTCACTGTGTATATTACAAAAATGGAGATTCATCTGGAAATTTCAATCCAAGTTACAAATGTTTTCAGCTGTATTTGTTCACACTTTCATAACCACTAAGTACTAATTCAGAATTCAGAATCTTTTGGTTTATTTGTTGATGTTTTTAATGGATTTTACAACTCTATACTAGATGATTAATCACCTTTCATATGTGTATTTAATTACATACAATGACTTTAATTATTATTTTATTACTTTAAATGTCAGGGTCACAACTACAATGTACGAATAGTAATAATAGTTCCAATCAAATCAAGCTTTATTTGTATGGTGCTTTACAACAGTAGCAATTAAACCAAAGCGTTTTCCATAAGTGCATCATAACCTAAATAAAAATGATGAAAAATATTAAAAAATTTTGATTATATGTGAAAAACAGTTGTGAACAAACAAGTCTTTAGCTTCACTTTGAACAGAGACAAAGTAGTGATCGACATTTTGTGATGACAAAAAGTGTGCAACGTTTCAAAATACTGACGAAAACATTGTACTAAAAATAATAAAAGATGTGACAATATTTCTTGGTACATTATCCATCCTTACTTACCAACCTGCTGCTACAC